CAAATCTCAATCAGTAATTGGCTCCAGATGACACAGTCTGGACCAATAAGAACACGGCTTCAGCTGCATCCAGCTTAGCACATGCTGTGTCTCCCAGCACTGCTACCCTGGCAGGACATGCAGCTGCAGCTGCTGTAGCCATCCTCTCAAGAAGGGACAGCCCACTGTGGAGAAAGTCAGCAGATAAGCAGGGCAGATGGGAGAGGTCCCAGCTGAGTTACGCCAGTGCCCAGAATGAGCAGCACCTCCTGGAATTATTACCGGGATCAAAAGATCCCAATGGGTGTTTCTAGGTCAGTGTCAGTTGGACATCTGTGTCTTTGTCAGTCTGATGTGATACACCACCTCTATAAAATGCAACCAAGCAACTGGCTGTCATAAGCCTGAAACTTCCATAAGCGTAACTAAAACACCACACTGTCCCCAAGGAGAGGGACATAAAAGACGGTTATCTACAGCTCTGGAATCCTGACCGGGGTATGCCATCCCTTGTACTGGTCTACCCAAAACTGCCAGCTGCCAGGGCAGGTATTCACAAGCCACTCCCAAAGCAAGATGGTTAAGTGCTGTGGCTAAAAGCCTCGCATAAGAAGGCAAGGCTTCATAAAAGGCACGTCACAGTCTCACTGCAGCTGCTCTTGTCCATCATAGGTTCTGGCCTCTGTCCAACCAGAGACACTCTGATGCGGCTGTGCCAGTGGATGGCAACACTTCTCTTTGTTACACTCACACTAGCAAGAGTGCAGTGAAGACGGCTCAAAAACAAGACAGTGGCCTGGGAACGTAGCTCGGAACAGTGCTTGCCTAAAGAGCCCTGAGTTGACCCCACGGTGCCAAAACACTGTAATTCCAGCATAGGGGGAAGCAGAAGCTGGAGAATCAGAAGTCCAAGATCACCCTGAGCTGCAGTACACTCAAGGACAGTCTACCAGACAAAACCCTGGAGGTGCCAGTCTGACAGAGCTGTAAAGGTGTAGGGTGGGGCAGGAGGCAGAACCAGCCCCAGTGTGCATTGACTCAGCTGCATCAGCCTGTGGGTTCGGGGAGTCCCGGGGAGCTCCACCTTCCTTTCCAGGATTAGTGGAAAGTGTGCACGCGATAGGGCAGATCCTGTGGGACAGAGCTTGCCTTGCAGTGCTGGCACTAACAACATTGCTACTTTTGCTATATCCGTTACTAATAAGCAGAAATGGCAAGTTTGAGGGGTAAACTGCTGTTACTATGACCTGCATGTCTACAACCCCGTAATTCTATTCCTGAGCAAATAACCAAGAAAAACTTTATGCATCCCAAAAGACAAACAAATGTTCCCAGCAGCACTACCCTCCCAAACCCCAAAGTAACTAAACCAACGACCCACAGTTATCAGTGTTGGATGACAGCAACATCAGGTCCACGAGTCAGGACCCACTTATCCATAATGTTCTGCACAAGAACCCAAACCAGAGTGAAGCTGTGATGCCACTGCAGAGATGTCAGAGTGGAGTGAGTGGCAAGGCCATCGTGGAAGAGAACACAGCGAGAGACGTGGTGCCGACCGGCTAGGAAGCTAGTCCTCTGATCAGGTGTTTCATGTGTCTGCACATTCTAGAGAAAGCATTGAGCTCTGCAGTTAACATCGTACATTTCAAAGTGTGACTAATAACAAAATGTCAAAAGACAATTTTCCCAACAGACAACTACACTGACAAAAGCACAACCCTAACATGTATTTGATGAAAACAAACAAACAAACCAGTCAGACAAACAGCCAAAGCACTTCCTCCCACATGTTTGGTCCCAGAACTGTGAAGATTTGAGTGAGAAGCTAGCCTGGTCTTCAGAGTGACACCCTGTGTGGAGGTTTGGATGAGAATGTCCCCCACAGGCTCATATGCGTGAATACTCAGTCCCCAGGTAGCAGAACTGTTTGGGAAGGATTAGTTGGTATGGCTTTGTAGGAGGAGGTAAGGGGTAGGCTTTGAGGTTTCAAAAGCCCAGTTTCTCATTCTCCCTCTGCCTACTGCCTGCAAACCAGGTTATAAAGCTCTCAGCCAACGCTCCAGCACCAGACCTAACTATTTCCTATCATGATGATCATGGACTAATCTTCTAAAGCCGTAAGCAAGCTCCAATTAAATCTTTTTTTTTTTCTAAGAGTTGCCTTGGTCACGGTGTCTCTTCACAGTGATGTATAGCAGTAACTAAGACACCCTGCTTAAAAAAAAGGCTGCTTGATAGGATGTGTACTTTGACCAGCAAATATGGAACAGAGGACTGTTTTATTCAGATCGTATATCAACCTTGCTTAAATATAGAGAACTGGACAGTTGAGGAAAAAATCCTATACTACCCATTTAATTCTGGTTGCCACCATTAAACAAGTCATCACAAACCATCTGGTAAGACGTGAAGCAAAGCCCCTAATGAACTACAGTCGAGGCCCCAACCCCTGCTCAGTTGCCCATGTGACTCCCGTGCACTGTGGGATTGCCACAGGCATCCGAGGCTTTTAAATGAATATTATTGTCATTTCTTAGACTGAAGGTACAGGATGAGCTCACTGTCCCTTAAAAGCCAAGTAGCCCTGAAAATGGCTATGAGAACAGGCTGTTAGGAACAACAAAGCTACTGTCTCTAAACCATTGGACAGCAAGCACCAAGCTCAGGCTTCAACTACAGTACTCAAGAGGTGGAGGCAGGAAGATCAAAAGCTCAAGGCCAGGGATGGGGCAATGGCTCAGTCAGTAAAGAAAGCATTTGCCTTGCAAGCATGAGGACATATGCCTGTGACCCCAGAGAAGGTGAGCAGAGAAAGAAATAGACAGCTGCAAGATCCCTTTCTCCTCTCTCTCTCTCTCTCTCAAAATACACAGAGAGAGAGAGAGAGAAAGTGAGAAAGAGAGAAAGAGAGAGAGAGAGAGTTAGTTTGACGCCAGTCTGAGTTACACAGTAACACCGTCATGGTCAAGAGCAGAGTCTGGGGCTGGAGAGACTCCTCAGACATTAAGAGCACTGGCTGCTCTTCCAGAGGACCTGAGTTCAATTCCCAGCAACCACATGGTGGCTCACAACCATCTACAATGAAATCTGGTGCCCTCTTCTGGTGTGCAGGCATGTATATATAATAAATAAATCTTTTTTTTTTTAAAAAAGCAAAGTCTACTCTTCTAGAGGACCCGAGTCCGATGCCTAACACCCATGTAGGTGGCTCAACCTCCCGTAACTCCAGTCACCTAAGCACATGACTTACTGCCTCTTTACTCCACGGTGTCACCAACTGGAGTGTTGGCTGCTGCTCAAAAGAGCCCCTAACAGTACCTAATGAGGAACTTCTGAAAAGGCGGGGGTCCAGGGACAGGACACAGGTCAGGCTTTTGCCAACTCCATAGGAAATGTAAGACTCGCTATGCCCTGGACTTTCCCCCTGGGTAGACCCCTTCCGTTTTAGGACACTTTATTTTTGTTTTGGGGATGCTGTTGGAGTGTGAGGCCTGGAAAGTCTTGTGGATGGGATTTAGGGTCTATCTTAGTTTAGTTTATTTGGATTACACTTCCATATTGTAGTCCATCACTGCAGGAAGTCAGGACAGGAACCTGGGGGCAGGAGCTGATGCAGAGGCCATGGAGGGGTGCTGCTTACTGGCTTGACCACCAGCCCAAGAGTGTTCCCACCCACAGTGAGCTGGGCCCTCCCCCATCAATCACTCATTAAGAAAATGCCCTACAGGTTTGCCTACAGCTTAATCCTATGAAGGTCGTTCCTCAATTGAGGCTCATTCCTCTCCAGTAACTCTAGCTTGTGTCACATTGACACAAAACTAGCCAGGACAGGGTCCAACAATGGCTATGCAGCTGAGACTATCTTAACCTCCACAGGTTCTCAAACATTAGACGTGGTCCTCCTTCCCTGGGCTGCTGATTTAGCAGGTCTGAGAGGACCCAGGAACCTACAAGTCACTAAAGCCTCAAAGTAGACCAGCTCAAAGTTCACCTGGACATGTCATAACACAGGGATCCACGCAATCCCCAGAATGTATCAGCTGGGGTAATCCTGGGGAGACTGCTGAAAATGTTGCCTCTGAGATCCTTCATTAGGCATCTACCTAATATCATGGCCATTTTAGAAGCAAGGCAGAGCACAAGACTGGACACTTGATTTAAAGGGGAACGGATTGAAACTCAAAATAAAAGCTATTGGTGTCATTTAAATAAAACTGTCCATTGCATAACATTATCCATTTTTAAAAAATATGTGTACATGTGTGTCTGCATGAGGGGTTGTACTCGTGTGCAAGTGACCCTGGAAGCCAGAGACATCAGATCTCCAGAAACTGGAGACACAGGAGGTTGTGAGTCACCTGACACGGGTACTACCTAGGAACCCAACTCCGGACGAGCAGTCTGCAGGCTCTTACCTACCAAGCCATCTCGCCAGTTCTAGTCCATCATTGCTCTAAACAACTTTCACTTACAGGAAAGTATTCCCTACTGGAACACTGCAGAAATTTTCTTTTAACCTGGTTTGAATGAGGCCATTAAAGCCTTCTGTTCTGGCCTAACTCTTAACCTGGGAGCCATGGATCCTTGCCAGGGGGGTCTTGATTTGATTCTCCCAACTTGGTAAAAGATGCTGGTATAAAAGCTTCCTGATTCTCCGAGGCTGCCCTCCAAAGGCTAAAAACCTCCTAAGGATATTAACCAAAGGATTCTTCTTAGTCGTAGTACTTTCGTTTCTTCTAAAAGAAGTTTTGTTGGATTTGTTTGTTGTTTTGTTTTAGTAACACTTTGTGGTAGGAATCTCTTTTAGGGAACTCTGTTCTGAGCATTGCTGTTCCCTCCTGCAAGCCAAGTGCACGCACACACCTACTGTCAACACCCAAAAATGTTTGCAGGCAAAACTCCCAGGGGAGATCCAATGCTTCCGGGGGCGTCCTGGGTGTACAAAGTCCCTGATGTGACCGCGTCGGCACCTCCGTAGGATGGGTCACAGGGAAAGTCATCTTGCCCCGGCCACTCACCAAGTCGCGGATGAGCTGGTCCACCAGAGGCTCAGGCTCCGCGGCGTCGCGGTCCGGGGGTGAGCGAGAGCGGCTGCTCGCGTCCCTCCTGTCGGCACGGCCGGGTCTGGGCGCCGGGGGTCGGCCCGCACCCTCCAGCAGACCCTGCGCCAGCGCC